TTTTTTATATAGTAGTACTACTAGTACTGAAACAGCTAGCTTCTTTAGCTTCACAGCTGGTAGCTTCAGCTTCACAGCTAGCTTTAGCTTCACAGCTGGTAGCTTTAGCTTCACAGCTAGCTTTAGCTTCACAGCTGGTAGCTTTAGCTTCACAGCTAGTAGCTTTAGCTCCACAGCTAGCTTTACTAGCTTCACAGCTACTACTAGTAGTAGTAACTTTAGCTTCACAGCTAGCTTTACAGCTAGCTTTACAGCTAGCTTCATACAACTACTATGTGCAAAATTGAAATAGTTTGAGAACAAAAAATACTAGTAGTTTAGCAGTAGTAGAGCTAGTACTGAAATTGGAATAATTACTAGTATTACATTTTCTTCTACTATTTCTTTTTTTCATATACTATTACTAGTAGTAGTACTACTACTACTGATAGTGATGCTGGCTAATTACATATCTTAGGGTTAAGGTCATTATTGAATAGTGATTCATAATACAGTGCTTGACATCTTCGACTTCCACTCCCACCAAAGCAGACCAATCTTATGTATGATACTTCTTATTAACGATGTTACCTCCTCATACTTAGTGTATTCATAGAGTACTCGTACTTGTTCCTTGTACTTTCTATGTCTGGCCCTCGTACGTACGTTGTCGAAGCAAAATCATGACAATTTTCAATTTTTCATCTTCCCAGCTTCTTAAATACCTCAAATTCCAACACAAACACGAACACAACATCAAACTCTAGACATCTCGGCACATCACACCACAAGCATCGCTGAACAAGACACAACCACCAGTCTTGATACAGTATTGATACCTGTATATGTTCTTCGTTCCAAACCGAGACCGGATTTTCCACCCTCTAAACCAACGAACAATGTCGAGGATGTTTGCATCGAAGTGCTGTGGCAGTACCAATCTGCGTCACTGCTCCTCGTTGTTCGCACCGCGCCCACTAGCTCCAACGACAACGGCAACGGCGTCCTTCGCGCAACAGTCACAGTCACAGCCACAGCCACCCAAACGGTGGGCCCATACGGTCCGGTTGATCGCCATGGAGGACCTGCCCCACGGAAAGGCCTACAAGGGAGATGTCGTGACTGTCAAGGCAGGATACGCAAGGAACCACCTCGTCCCGCAGAAACTGGCTTTGTATGCGACCCCCCAAAACTTTTCGAAACTGGGAATCGTTGATCCGGACTTTGAGACGGAGGAGGAACGCATTGCTCGGCTCCAACGAGAATCCAACATGACTGCGGCGGAGGACAGGTACCTCAAGGATTCGGATCTGTTGAAAAAGTACCTGAGAAACAAGGTGGTAAGTTGCGTTGTTGGCTGTGTTTGGTTGTGTTTGGTCGCGTTGCTGTTTTGCTTTGCAGAGAACTGCAATGTTTCTTTTCTAAAAACAAGGAATGCACCTTTATGAACTGCTCTGTGCAATTAATTTATTCATGCAACACTATCTTTGCACTCTTCCTTCGGATATCTGGTACCCGTAGCTCCAAATATGGCGCAACGTGGATCCAAACAGCACCGACAGCCTGCACCCTGGAGTGGTCACGGCCGAGCACGTTCGACAAAAGCTCTCGAAGCAGCTCAGAATCGATCTAGACGATAGCGAACCCGTTCACATCCTCCGCACAGCTTCCCCGCCGTCGTCGCCATCGGAGGAAACAACGCCGTCTTCCACTACCACCACAACGAATCCCCTCAACTTTGCCGAACTGGACGATTCCAAGATTCAGGCACTGGCCGACGACCTGGTCCCGGTCGTGGACGAGGAGGGAAGGTGTTTGATCCGAATCAACCGCCTCGGAGAGTACCTAGCGGTGATTGGCCTCAAGGGTGGCTACGCGGTCCCACTTCGGGTCCTGGTCCGCCAGCGCGTGTAAACGAAGGAATAGACACGGGAAAGAACACACATCGTTGCAGGAAAAAAAGAGATAGGATAGACCTCTATCAACCAGATTATGAAGGAAAAACAGTGCTTTAGTAAAAAATGATTTGGTTCGGTCATGGTGCATTGGTCTCGAAAACGATCCAATTCTGCTCCAGTCTGGAAAGCCTTTGCTAGCAACTAGTTTAATATAGTATTGATAGTGTGGAAAAACTCGCATCGATTATGAAGGCAAGAGAATGATGTAGACAAATCGAAATGACCGAAAGGTTGATTGATTTGGCCCGGTTGTGGTGCATTGGTCTCGAAAACCAAAACTGTATTGCTAGCAACTGGTCGGATGCAGTATCGTATGCGATTCATATCGTGGAGTCAAAATCGCATCGACGTTTTCGCTCCTTCCGCTCTCTCTTCGTTGCTCTACTCGAAATCGGGCGGCTGCGACCAGGGCTTGAGCTGCAGATCCTTCTCTTCTTCCGTCAGCGACGCCGCCTTCCAGTCGTTTCGGAACAGCAGGACGGGCCGACCCCATCGGTCCTGGACGATCATGATGCCAAAGAGCTTGCCGTCCGCGTCGGCCTTGTCGACAGCATCCCATCCCCCGTCGGCCCAGCGGGCAAGCGTGTATCCCAGGGGCTCCATCTGTGACTCGACCTTGTACTCGTTCTCGAGGCGGGCCTGGACGACCTCGAACTGCAGCTGGCCGACGGCGGCCAGCATCAGCGGACCGCCACCGTCGTCGTTTCGCTGCCGGAGGGCCTGGACGGCGCCCTCCGCCAGCAGCTGGTCGATTCCCTTCCGGAACGACTTGTAGTCGGAGGGGTTGGGACTCCGGATGTAAGCGAATTTTTCGGGCGAGAAACTGGGGATCCCGGGAAAGGCCACGCGCTCGGCTCCCGTAAAGAGAGTGTCACCGATCGCAAAGGACCCGGGATTGTTGATTCCAATGACGTCGCCGGGATAGGCCAGCTCCACGGTGGACCGGTCGGAGCCAAAGAGTGCCTGGGCCTGGGCAAGGTTGTACTTCTTTCCGGCCTTGCTGCGGGAGTGCCCGACCTTCATGCCCTTTTCGTAGACGCCCGAAACGACCCTCACGTAGGCCAGCCGGTCCCGGTGCCTCGGATCCAGATTGGCCTGCGTCTTGAATATAAAGCCGGTGAATTCCTCGTGTTCCGGAGACACGGGCTGCTCGGTGCTTTCCTCCTTCTTGTCCCCGCTGATGGCCGGTCGCGAGGTCGGCTTGGTCCCCATTTTCAGAAACTTGTCCAGGAAGAGCTGGACGCCAAAGTTGGTCATGGCGGATCCGAAAAAGAGCGGGGTTTGTTCCCCGTCCAAGACACGTTCCATGTCCAGGGGCTCGATGAGCTCGTCCAGAAGCTCCCTGTCCTCCAAGAGCTTTTCGAAAAGCTCGGCGTCGTCGATGAGTTCCTCCAGGCGATCGGTTTCGGAAAGTGGCACCTCGATGACCTCGGCTTTCGCTCCCCGCTTCGCAGGTTTCTGGTACAGGTGGACGACGTCCTCCAGGCGATCCAGGACCCCCTTGAAGCGGTCGCCGTCGCCGATCGGCCACAAAATGGGAAAGGACTCCAGGTCGAACTCCTCTTGGATCTGGTCCATGAGCTCGTACGGGCTGAGAGACGGCCGGTCCATCTTGTTGCAAAAGGTAAAGAGCGGCAGGCCGCGCATCCGGCAGACCTCGAATAGCTTTCGGGTCTGCGGTTCGAGGCCCTTGGCGGCGTCCAATAGCATAATGGCGTTGTCGGCCGCCGCCAGGGCCCGGTAGGTGTCCTCGGAAAAGTCCTGGTGGCCCGGCGTGTCGAGGATGTTGAGCCGGAAGCCCTCGTAGTCAAAGTTCATCACCGTCGAGGAAATCGAAATCCCGCGCTCCTTTTCCATTTCCATGAAATCGGATTGCGTGGCGCGCTGCTCCGCCTTTTGCCTGACGGCCCCGGCCTGCTGCAGGGCTCCCCCGTAGAGCAGCAATTTTTCCGTCATGGTCGTCTTTCCGGAATCGGGATGGCTGATGATGGCGAGGTTCCGGCGGCGGTCGATCTCGGACCGGGGTGCCGCTGCCGTGGCGGCCGATTCGCCGTTGTTGTTGAAGAGACAGGTGTTGGCTCTCGTTCTCGTTCTCGTTAACGCTCTCGCTGTGGCTGTGGCTCTGGAGGCGTCCTTTCGCGGCGGGGGCGCAAGGGCGTTGGAGCACTGCAAGCCGACGAGGACCAACAGAGTGGAAACAGTAACGGCAACGGCAACGGCAAGCCTAGCGTTCTTGTGCGTTTGCCTGTGCGGTGAGCCCATCGTGCTTGAGTGCTTTGTTTTTGTTCTATGGTGTTTTGGTCGAGGATTCGGTCCCGCGTGCAGATTCTCGGCGATTGGGAGAGTGTTGGTGAAAAGTCCAGCTCTTTCTGGTCGTGATTCTGGTGTTGGTTCTGTTTCTGTTTCTGGGTTTGTCTCTGTATCTGATGCTATCCGTCCGTACTCGTACGTACTGTTTACCTCGTGCCGTATTTCGTATTTCTGTTTCGATCAAAACAAACAAACTCTGTTCGGAGAACCGAGAAACGAAACGACAGATGATGAAAAGAAGTACTAGGAGTAGAAGTAAAATGATGGGCCGAGCCACGACGTACTCGTACTCGTACGTAATCGTACGTACTCGTACCGGTACAAATTCTTCACTAATTATCGTACAAATACTTGTACTCGTACGTACGGTACGCGTACGTGTATGATATGACTACAGGTGAGGTAATACGTACGTACGTACGTACGTACGTACGACGAACGAACCGGTCCACATCCGGTGTACATCTGGCACACCGGAACTATTATGAAACCCCCACAATCCCGGTATCGGGGACGAGTATGGTACTCGTACGTATCCGGTATTGTACCGTACGTTAAGTACTCGATTTGAAATACTAGTACAAGTACTGTACTTCGTACTTGACTTTGTATTTCAAATCGAAGTACCGGTAGCTCGTACCGGTACGTACTGTAATGAACTTTTCCTCGTACCGGTACTCGTACACGGTCTTTTTACGGTACAACACTCGACAGACTGCTGTTGATTGGAAACGCATAAGCATGACAAAAATGAGGTCGCGCGAGGTCATTCAAATACGAATCAGGCAATTCAGTCATTCTTGTAGCATGCACTTAAGAAGAATGACTACAGAACCTGGTAAAACTCTTTATCAGGACATTATAATTTCTAAACTTCGAATTCAAGTTGTATGGCGTTACATAAGTTAACTTTATTGAAACCAGTGGTTCCCGTAAACACGGCACAGACAGGGCAATATTAAAAATAAAATAAAATGGTAACACTGATATTAGAATCCTATAATGTCCAACTGACTGACAAAAACGATGGTATTATTTTTTTTCCTTCACAAATTATGGGCCTGCGTCCCGATGTGTGATACCAGTACCATTTTCTTCACTAATGCTCTGATGAAGTGTTAGGTGCACTAGGTCATTCTTCCAATAAGGAGTACCGGTAAATACCATGAACGGTCATTGGAGAACCTTAGGCACCTTCAGTGTTTCATAAGAAAGCGACAAAAATCTGGACGACGCACCCTGTGATTGTCACACTATCGAAACAATGCACCCAAAGTCAGAGGACAACTTCTTGTGAATATAATCACTCGCGTCTGATCTGGTTTGCTCATAATTTCAAATCATACATGGTATCGATTCTTTCTCAAACAGCAACGCAACGGAAAAAGACACCATATTCACAATGAAAAAATTCTCAACAATCCTTTTCGCTATCATCTTTGCATCTGCGTCTTCTGAGACTCTTCGGGGATCTCAAGTGACCATTCAAGACGATTTGGATTCTCTTCAACAACTACCAGGAGGTCGTCAGCGGCAACTGAAACCAGGAACAACATGTCGGTTGTACCTGCAGGAGGATATCGAGTTCAAAACCGAACAAGAATCTGTGGAAGAATGGCTTTGCATGTTCCCAGAAGAAGAGGCATCGGCACTTGGTATCAAATCCGTTAAAATCGACAGATCGAGTACTTCTTTCATCAAAGATGCGGAGTCAGGCGAGTCAACCATTACTCTAAGCAGCGCAGTCATTGACACCGAAGAGGCAAAAATGTACATTCCCGTGGATGCACATGTAGAAGTTCGGAATCGTCGTAACGATGGAGCCAAGATTGGAAATCTCACGGCTCTTGTAATTCGTGTCACTGACGCAAATGGCATCCACCCTACTGCAACTATTTCTGAATTGGAAAATTACATCTTTGATAATGAAGTCTGCCTCAAATCACAAATGGAGGCCTGCTCCTATGGAAAGCTCAATATCATCCCCTTCAAGGGGACTACCGAGAC